AAGCGCAAAGAGAGTGTCAGCTCAAGCCCAAATCACTCTGACCCCAAAGGGTGCAGGGGAACAGGGTTTTATACAAAAAAAACACAGAGCGGTTCAAACAAACAGACTTATCTTGTCAACTGGGGTGGTAAATTCCAGCAGACCCTTATTCTGTAAGTGGGAGTAAACCCATCAATAAACCCCTTATCTTGTTTGTATGGATGGGCTAAGTTTTTATCTTGTTTGTTCAGGTGCCCTTGGGTCAGTCTGACCTTTGTGGTTTTTCTGTAAGAAGTTTATTTTTTTTCCATAGGGTGAGGTGGGGGGTGGGGTGGAGAAGGGGGATTAGGGGGAGACAACGCTGAAAGGTCTTAGTGGATACCTTGTTTAAAGGGAGGTGTTAGTCATGCTATACCAAGGAGATCACTGAGTTTCGTTCCAGAGATATTTTATACATATAAGATCCTGTGTTTGTGCCGTAATTGTTTTTAACTTGTGAACTGAGTGATAGTTTACATGGGAGAACATCAGCTTTACACCATCATTTCATTATAATGATTACAATCTCCTCCACACATCATCATTCAACAGTATTTGCTTCATTTCCCTCTGTTTTTCTTGTTTTTTTTGTTTTTTTTTAAGGGGGTGGGGAAATGTATACAAAAACACTCGAGAATATATAACAATTGAAACAACCAAAGAGTGCCATAATTTTTTAACCACATGACAAATACTGTTGACAGAATTGTGCCACTTTCTTCTTCACTTCCTTTATCTTGGAGATTGTTCCAAACATCTTCATACAGATCTGCCTTATCCTGTTTAACTGCATCCACATAAGATGCATTCATTGCTGCTTTTATAAAATATACAGTGAGGTGCACTCCTGATGTGGTTCTGTAGGATAAGCACTGGACTGGCAACCACAAGGTCATCAGTTTAAACCCACCAGCCTCTCCTTGGGAGAAAGAAAAGCCTTTCTGCTCCCATTAAGATTTACAGCCTCGGAAACCCTATGTTGCTGTTGTTGTTGTTAGGTGCCATTGCATCTGTTCCCACTCATAGGAACCCTCTATAGGGTTTCCAATGAGCAGCTGGTGGGTTTGAACCACCAACTTTGTCAGTCCAGTGCTAATCCTACGGCGCCACATCAGAAGTCCTATACAGGGGCACTATGGCAGAACTGACTGGATGGCACCTAACAACAACAACAACAGTGAAGTGTGACTACCGCTTCCCTCTCATCAGTCACAGCTGCCCTCCAGAGAGAACAGATGCCCTGTCTTGCATTCTTTGAATCCTTTGTGTTACTGAGTGTGAACTGAGTGATAGTTTATATACCCACGCTGGTATATTTTGGTCAATCCCATTTGCTCTAGAGTATAACCATCATTCATTTGCATGTAGTAAAAACAAAATCTTACATTAATTCAGAAGAATAATACAATAGTTGAGTGCTCTAAAGATCTAATCAGGAATTTGCAAATTAGGTCAACATTCTCCAAAGAATGGAGATTTCACCAGCACTTAAACAATTTTTCATAGTGAATATACAGTCTCCGTTATGATGCCAATGTCCTTAGTTGCTTCTGAGTTAGCATTAGGAAGCAACTCCTGAGAACTTAGCCCTTTCCCCATTTGTAGTTGTGATAACTTCTTGAGATTAAAGTTAAGGAAGCACACTGGTTTGGTTTGGTTTGGTTTTATTAAAACACAAGGTAATGGGTTTGTATTGACTGTTCTCTTCAAGCAGGAAAGAAACAAGTTTAACCATGTGATAAAGTTGGTTCATAACTTCAGGTTAAAAAAAAAAAAAAACAGACCAGAGAAGCTGTAAGCAAGATCAATTTTGGAGCAATTATTTTGGGGCTTCTAAGTAAGTTGGCCCAGGACTGGGCATTGTTTCGTTCTGTTGTGTATAGGGTTGCTGAGTCGATACCAACTCGATGGCACCTAACAACAACAGTAAAGTCCTGGTGTGGCGCTGTGGGTTAATGCGCCACACTGCAAAGCCGTTTGAGCTGCAAGGTCGGCAGTTCAAGCTCACCAGCTCTTCCTCGGAAACCCTATACAAAGTTCCTATGGATCGGAACGTACTTAACAACAAAATAAGTAAAACTTGTTGAAATAGAAGTAAAATATTTATTTTTATTGAGTTTTCCACACTGTACATACCTCTCTTTTTTTTCAGATTGCAGTCTTCCTAGATTCACATGTCTTTACTCTGTATTTCCTCAGAGCTCACTAAGAGCCATTCTCCGGTCCTAACAAAGCACGTTCCGGTGTGAGCATGTGAAGTCTCTGGGCTTGTTAGAGCAGCAGCCTTCTGCCTGGGCCTCCCTGATGCTATTGCTGGACTGCCTTTCCCAGGACCTATCACCCCCATCACCCCTATTCAGAATTCTGTATTAATCATTCTCTGGATTCCTTTTCCTCACAAGCTTTAACTCATCGGAATCACCTTAAAGACTTGTTAAAATGCAGATTTCTGGCCTCCACCTCCAGTTTCTGATTTAGTAGATCTGGGATGGGGCTCAAGAATTTGCATTTCTTCTAAGTTCCCAGGTGATGCTGATGCTGCTGATTCCAAGATCACACTTTGAGAACCACAGTTTTATCTCAAAGATACTCTTGACTTTTACATGATGACTTTTGTCCTCGACTTGGTAGCACTTAACAATAGCAAAGTCTTGTCACTCAATACTTGCATGTATCTGAAACACCTTCTCCCTTTTGTCCTCTACTTCCTTGTTTATCACTCCGTTTTGAGTGTTCAATCTCTGTTAAATATTTTAACGGATTATGGAATTTAACTGATGGTGGTTATGTGCCATGGAGTTGGTGTGTAGCAATCCTGTACAGGGTTTCTGAGGCTGTAAATCTTTACAGAAGCAGAAAACTTCACCTTTCTCCCACGGAACAGCTATTCGTAACCACTACGCTACCAGAACTCCTTTTTCCCCCCTTCTCTGTTGGTCTGTGTGTGTGTGTGTGTGTGTGTGTGTGTGTGTATTATTGCTACTTAATCTGAACGATTCCTGGTGTGGATCTGTGGGTTAAGGCGCTTCTGGACTGCAAAGTTGGTTTGAACAGCAAGATCAATGGTTCAAGCTCACCAGTTGCTCTTAGGAAACCCTATACAGGGTTGCTATGGGTCAGAACTGACTAGACGGCACTTAACAACAACTTCAGTCAGAAAGCAGGGTATGTCCTGTTCTTCTAATCTATAAGAAAATGTGTGTGTCTTAGTCTTCTACTCTGTAAACGCCTTGAAGAAGGAACCAAGTTAATTTCTCTCTATAATCCACTTCCTCCAGCAAACTGTTTGCAAATACAGCTGCATTGGTTTTTCTTCAATTGCACTCCAGTCAACTCTGACTGAAATTGACCCTATGTATGTTACAGTAAAACTGTACTCTATCATAGAGTTTTCAGTGGTTGACTTTTGGCAACTAGATTGCCAAGTCTTTCTTCGGAGGTGCTTCTGTGTGGACTAGAACATTCAACCTTTTGAGCATTTTAACAGTTTGCGTCATTCAGGGATTCCAGTAGTCTGCAGGGATTAAAACGGTAACATAAACACGTAAATTCTGCAAGGTGAAAACTTTACTAACAGGGAGGCCGTATCCTGTGTAAGGAGAGCAGCCAATCACAGGTCCATTGCTCTTCAATTTTCCCATTTTTCAAGAAAAACCAGAATAATCCCAGCTGATTCATCATTTTAAGTACACTGAGCAGACTCTACACAATAAATTTGTGCAAGCAGAGTCTAGTCCATGTTTCAAGACCTTCCCAGTAAATAGATGGAAGGACGGATGGATGGATGAGTAAATAGCGAATCTGGGTCATGGCAGCAGCTCTGGTTAGTACTGGGGTAGAGTGGTGGCAACAAGCAATTATTGAGTACCAACTATATGCCCAGCCCTGTTTTACAAACCTTATATTTGATCTTAACAACATCACTACATTCTCCTGTAGCTCTATGCTCAGTCCACAGATAAAGAAACAGAGGATTATAAAAGCTCAGGGTCACTCACACCACCAAATTTATAACCTACCAAATCCCACCACCCCATACATATACACATATATATGGAAGTGTGGTAGTTCCATACAGTAAGCACTGGAATGTAAACCACAAGGTCCACGGTTCAAGTCCACCAGCAGCTCCATGGGAGAAAGATGAGGCTTTCTGCTCCAGCGAAGATTTAAAAAGACTTAGAAACACATTTTACAGGGTCGCTATGAGTCAGAAATGACTCAAGAGCACTTAACTATATATATATTGTTGTTATGTGCCGTGGAGTCAGCTCTGACTTATAGTGACCCTGTACAGGGTTTCCGAGGCTGTAAATCTTTACAGGAGCAGAAAGCCTTATCTTTCTCCCTCAGAACAGCTGGGAGTTTTGAACTGCTGACCATGAGATATATATAGTTCAAACCAATCTTCCAGTTCAGTCAGTGCTTACCCTCAGCACCACACCAGGACTTATATATATATATATATATATATTTCAGAGAGACTTACATGATTTAAACAGGGTCTTGAACTTTGGATTCCAAATTCTCTATTGTACCAAATTGCTACCACAGATGGAATGAGGTTTTCAAAAGGCAAGTAGAGAGAAGGTGTCAGTAGATCAGGGAGCAAGCTTGATTTCTTGGGTATCTCATGAAGCAATTTGTCACTTCCCATTCCTCAAAGATGGTGGTATTAAGGAGTTAAAACACTAGGGGTTTTAGCCCTTGTGTCTTATATGCCTCTCCTTCCATCTCCCTCCATAGTCCCTTCTCAGAATTCAAGGTTTCTGCCTACCAACCTTGGGCTTTTCCTTAGAGTCCCCTCCATCTTAATTCCTTTCTAGAACTCAGTAATATAAAGACAGAGGCACAGATAGAGGAACTGTTTGTACGGAAAACATTTTATTGCATTTACAGAGCCAGGAAAGAGTGATTGTAGAATGCTGGTCAAATCTCAAGCTCCCTTCAGGGGTCAGAAATACTGGGTCTTGACCTGGCATTCACTTAGCATCAGGAGCTGCACTCCTCAGTCCTTTCAACTGAAAGGAGAGGGGGTATGGTCAGATTGGGGGTCCCTAGGCACAGGAGCTGGGGTCCTCCTTAAGGAAGCTGGGGACAAGGTAGAGGTAAGGAATGTCTGCCCCAGTCTAAGCTCCCATTCTCCCCTAGGCTGGAGTAGCTTTGGTGAAAATGTATCCTCTTCCTCACTCCCCACCCTCCCTTCCGTACCTTCTGCTCTCCCCTTACCCCATCTCCTTCCCTCCTAATGTCTACCCCACTTACCTTAGGAAAAGCGTCCCAGTTGAGAAAAGGAAGTTTCCTTTTGATAGACTGAAAGAGAGAGTGAGAGTCCTATTTGTAGGTGATGTAGAACACAGGCCATTAAACAAACACTCACTGACAGAGCTCCTCCCACCCCCCACCCCCTGCACTGCTCAGGGTGGTATTGTTTTATTATTATAGTAAAAACCCACCCACTGTCCTCAAGTCCTTTCTGATTGGCAGCAACCCTGTAAGACAGGGTAAAACTGCCCCATAGCGTTTTTTTCAAGGTCAGTTGTTCAAGCTCACCAGCCGCTCCTTGGAAACCCTATACAGGGTCGCTATGGGTCGGAAACGACTTGATGGCACTTACCAGATTCCACATCTTTCTCCTGCAGAGTGACTGGTGGGGGATCTCTTGTGGACTTTTTGGTTAGCAGTGGAAAACCTAACACTGTGTCACTAGAGCCCCTTATACGGAAGTGAGAACTTGTGATATGTGAGGCCTTAACAGGTATGATTTCATTGCAAGGTCTTCACAGCAAGCCTTTCCACATAGGGACTGTTGTTATGTGCACTTGACAGATGAGAAAACTGAGGTTCAGAGAACTGAAGACTCTCCAGTGAGGGTTACATAAAAAGTAAGTACAGGCATGAGATACAAGGTCCAGCTACAGCTCTGCTATAGACCAGCCTTCAAAGTTTAGGTGGGTCATCTAACCCGGGACCTACTTTCTTTATAGAGAATGGGGAGATTCCAAATAAATTCTTATCTGGTTAAGTTCCTCTTCTTTTGGCATTGCTTAGTGGCCCTGCTCCTTCCCTGCCATGCTAGAAAACTGGGCTGGAGCTGGGACACAGCCTTCTGAGGAAACACATCTGACAGGGTCCAGGCAGGCCAGTGACTCCCTCCTGTTGCCCATTGCTGTCAAGTCCATTTCGACTCGTGACAAACCCTTCCATGCAGAGCGCAGTTGCTCCATAGGGGTTTCAAGGCTGTGACCTTTCAGAACAGATGGCCAGGGCTCTCTTCCAAGTCACCTCTGGATGTGTTAAAACCACCAACCTTTTGGCTAGTCAAGTGCTTAACCATTTGTACCCCCCAAGGCCACCTGCTCCCTCCTAGATTTCTGGAGAGTACTCAAAAGTTTAGAATTAGACTGTGCTGCCAATGCCCTAGTGAGGCTGAAAATGCTCATAGAGATTCCCAAGCACTTACCTCAAAGAGGGCATGCCAATTCAGGAATTCCTCATTCCTAAAAGCCTATGGGAGAGAGACCAGGGAGGGTCAATTACAGAGGAAGACACACAGCTTAGACCCTAGCCCTTTGGAAAAGGTGAAGGGACCATGGCAGCTTTGCAAGCTCTATATGAAGCTGTGATCACCTCTGAATGTGAGCGGTACTAGGAAGTTATACTTACAGCTTTCAACTTCTCCAAGTTCAGGAACTTAGTGTTAAAGCCCTAGGCAAAGAAGCAAGGCATTAAGAAAGTTGCAAAGGAACACAGGGATAAGGACAAACACATGATTGGAGTGTGGAAAAAGAGTTTGTTTACCTGGGGTCCTGCTGCGTAAACCTCGGGGCCTTCCGCATAATTACCAATGGTAGTTTGTTCCTGAAAAGTGAGGGAAAGAAAGGAGTCTATTGATGATATGAATGATGGCAAAAGCCCCTCTCCCAAATCCCTCTCTGCCAGCTTCTGCCAAAGTCCAGTGTCTGAGATTGCAACCCTTTCTCCACCACAGGCCTCAGTGAGCCCTCTCTGTTCTAATAATGCTGATAGTTGGCAGAGGACGTGAGATGGAGGGACGAAAGAATGGCATATACAAGATAAAGAAATTGCAAACCCAAACTTGTACCTATTATAGGTAGCAATGGGAGGGGTGGGGAGAAGAGTACTCCTCCCAAGAAAAACCAGCTAGTGTCGTTCTGCAGTTGACTTAATTCGAAGAGGAGTTGACATGGAGTGCTCCTGAGACGTCCACATTTAGCCCTTATAGCTGAGTGGGGAAGATGACCACACTGGAGGGAGCCAAGGTGCTAAAGTGATCTGCCCGCCTTTGAGGTTGGTTTTATTTGTGACTTTATTGTCACCAAAGTTGGAGTCACCATTTCCATCTTCCATGCAGTAATTCCCCTAGACCTCAGTACACCCCATCTTGTCACTCCCCCCAAGCTTAGTTTCCTGCTTCATTACTCCTCTCTGACTCATGAGTTAGATCCAAATGTTGAGAAAACATAATGGTTTGTTTGATTTTAATTTGAATTCCACCATTTTTTATTTGGGAAGAATTCATAAATAAATCTAGATTTCCAGTTACTCTTGAAAATTTTGTAACTCTGGCCAGCGATGCTGGGTAAAATTCCCCTACTGAGCAGCAAGTAGTATATGCCCCCTTTTAGACTGGACAGTTGCTCACCATTTCACCTTCAGATCATTAACACCACTCGCTTGGATCCTAAGCAGTTGAGTTTGTGACTTCCTATTTTAGACTTTTAAATTCAGAATTGACATCCTTCTCCTACTTTGGGATTCCTCCTTGCTTGGGGACTGGATCATAAGGATTCCTGCTTTGACCTAGGTTCCAGAGATACTAGGAGCTTCCTGTCACCTGGAAACCACTCACGGGGATACAGTGGAAGCAAAGATTAGACTGAATCTACACAATTGATCTTTAGCTCCCAGCTTCACTTAGAATTCAGTTACCTAGTCAACACCTTATATTTTACCATCCCTTCCAGGAATATAAATATTATAAGTAACTCTTCCCTTAAATGTCTTCCCAGGCATGCTTTGTTCCTCTCCTCAGATCCCAGGTTCTAATTCAGCCCCTGACAGTATCCAAAACTATGAGCCACTTTTCCAGTAACAGATAGAAGATAAAGAAAATTCTCAATGGGTACAGCGGGAGGGGGGAGAAGGGAGGGAAAAGGCATAAGAAAAGGGAAGCCAGGTGATATGCTCACCTCAGAACCACCCAGGGCAACCCCCTGCACAGAGTGGTGAACTGCCAGAAGGGAGAGAAGAACCACCGCAGGGAGAGCTGGGATCTTCATGGTGTCAAGTGTGGGGTGCTCTGAGGCGGGGCCTCACTGCTTGCCCTTTATATCCCTGAGGAGACAGATGTGAGCAGAAGTGGGGTCCCCACCCCACTGACTCAGCCCCAGATCCTGTCACCCACCCTCAGGGCTCTGGGAAGAGGAGGAGTGTACTGCTCCCCACTTACCTCAGATTTCTCAATTCACATTCTGCCCCCAAGCACTAGGAAGGTGAGACAGCAGTGGAGCTCCCCACGTCAGTGGGGTTGGGAGGGAGACAGGTTAGACCTGTCCCTCCAAGGGATCGGCAGGAACACCCAAGCAACCTTTTGTCTTTGTCTCTCTTCCTTACATCCCTCCTTGTACCCCCCAGCCCCCTCCCGCCCCCGTACAATTCAGGCTAGTTTTGCATCCTACTAAATTCAGTCTAAATGCTTTAGACAGGTAACGAAGGCCTTTCTATGTTTACAGCCCCCACCTCCCCCCCGCACATACCTCACTTTCTGACCAAACTGGACTCTTTACCAAATACACACCTCTTTTTTACTTCTCTGCACATATGTCGTGCTATTTCTTATTCCTAAAACATCCTTCTTGTATTTCCAGTTCTCAGAATTCAACATCCATTTTGGGATGAAGCTTCCCTGATTTACCCCATCATTCCACAGCTCTCACCCTGGCACACATAGGCTTTCTTGGAATTGTCACATCAGTTCTTCTGCATTTATTTGGCATCCTTCCCTAGAATACCATGTTCTTCACTATTCCCCTCTTAGCATATTAAGTTCTTTGAGGTCAAGAACTGCATCTGAATCACTGTTCCTTCCCCTTAGCACCATGCCTTACGTGTTACAGGGTACAACAGGAGTCAACATTACTGAGACTGAATATGTTTAAATTAGTATTCAAGCATCCTTCCATCAAGTCGTCCACCTTCCTTCCTTGGGGCTGTACCCCTCCAGTTATCCAGGTGCCTACCTTGTACTTTTGGTTCACCAAGAGTAAAAAAGGCAAGGAATAGAGAAACATACCAAAATGCAAAACCAGGTCTTAAAGATACCCAGTTGAGGTTGGATCTAGGCATCCTGAACTTAGGTACCTGCTCCATTTATTGAGTTTATTTCCCCTTCCCCTCTCAGCTTGGAAGCTGAATCACCTCAAAGTGACAACACATTTTAATCGAGCAACTGTCTCCACAGTGATGCTTGAGGTGGCCCAACCTGTTGTTCCTGGTGTAACGTAACAGAGAACTGCTGGGAATAGACCTGTATTCCCTGGGCAGAGCAAGACCTTATCTAAGAATGGCTCTGCCCCCCGCCCCCCACCTGATGCAATGCCTATTGATGGCAGACCTTAAGGTGAAAGGGTGCCGTGCCATTCATGAACCATCTTTAGAAACTCTAGAAACTGGCACTTTACTTTAATCCTCTCCCATTTCACTGCATCCTACTCCTCCTAAGTCTCAGGAAGCTCCCGTGTTTTTATAATGCATCTCCCCCTTTGCAGAACTATCTGAGGAGATAGTGCCTGAGGAGTGTTCACTAAACACAGGCAACCATGTGACAGTGGATGTCATGTGCAGTTTGTGCCACTCCAGGGGACCAGTGAGGGAATGAATGAGGTGGGTGGAGTACATCCCCAAAAGTTTTCTAGAGGATATAAGTTTTTATGTATAATGAATTCTGATTAATTAATTGGAGTCCTGATGTGGCGCTGTGGGATAAAGCGCTGGATGGCAAGCTCGATATGAACCACAAAGTCAGCGGTTCAAACTCACCAGCCACTCCTCAGAAACCCTATACAGGGTTGCTTTGAGTTGGAAACAACCAACTCGACTGCACTTAACAACAGCAACAATATTAATTAATTAGCAGTGAGTTAATTAATTAATTAGCATGATGGTGGTGGTGTGCCATCAAGCCGGTTCTGACTCACAGTGACCCTGTGTAGGGTTCCCAAGGCTGTAAAATAAACCTTTACGGGAGCAGAAAGCCTCATCTTTGTCCCGTGGAGCAACTGGTAGATTTGAACTGCTGACCTTGTAGTTAGCAGCCCACCTCGTAATCCACTACACTACCAGGGCTCCTGAAGGAACATGTTGCTGTGAAGTGCCTTCAAGTCAGTTCCGACTCATAGTGACCCTGTATAGGGTTTCTGAGGAGCAACTGGAAAGGGTGAACTGCCAACCTTGTGGTTCAAGCTGACCTTGCAGTCCAGCACATTAACTCACAGCACCACACCCCAGAACTCCTGAAGGAGCATAGTCCCCACCATTCAACCAGCACAAGTTCAATACCAAGAGTGGGAGGTATGAAGAATCAGGAGAAATGTTGTATAATCAACTACAGTTAGACAAGCTAATGAGGGTACTCCAAAGAAGCAGATGTTCCCGACACCATCGTCTACTTGGTTTTAGAGTCTGTGAGTGATATTTTTTGCAACAAATGACCTTCCTATGTTTTCTCTGGTAGCGTAGTGGTTACGAATCGGGCTGCAAACTTTAAGGTCAGCGGTTCGAAACTACTAGCCGCTCCGCGGGAGAAAGATGAGGCTTTCTACTCCCATAAAGATTTACACCCTCGGAAATCCTGTACAGGGTCGCTATGGGTCGGAACCGACTCGATGGCACTTAACAACAACAACAATGCTACAAATAATAATGCTATTCAGTTTATTGAGGACTTATTACGTGTCAGGCATTGTCCTACATGCTCTATATGCATGATCTCATGCAAATGTCAAAGTAAATTTCTGAGATGGATATTATGTTGTTTGGTGCCATCTGGCCATAGGTTCCTGCTCACAGTGACATTATCTACAACAGTATGAATCACTGCTTCATCCTCCACATTCCTCACAATTGTTGCTGTGTTTGAGCCCATTGTGCTATTCCATCTCATTGAGGGTCTTCACTGACCCTCTACTTTACCAAGTATGATATCCTTCTCCAGGGACTGGTCCCCCTGATAAAGATATATCCAAATAAGGTACCTGAGATGAAGACTCACCATCCTCACTTCCAAGGAGCGTTCTGGCTGTGCTTCTTCCAAGATTGATTCGTTTGTTCTTTTGGCAGTCCATGGCATATGTATTCTTCACCGACACCATAATTTGTTGTTGTTAAGTGCTGTTGAGTCAGTTGGTTCTGACTCATAATCATTCTGTATAAGGTTTCCAAGGAGCGGCTGGTGAGTTTGAACCACCGACTTTGCGGTTCAAATCGATCTTGCAGTCCAGTGCATTATCTTATAGCGCGCCACACCAGGACTCCCTAATTAAAAGACATTGGCTCTCTTTATTCATTGTCCAGCTTTCATATGAATGCAAGGTAATTGAAAATGTCATGCTTTGGATCAGGCACACCTTAGTCCTCAAAGTGACATATCTGGGTAGGTTTTTTGTTTTTGTTTTCACGCTTTAAAGAGGTCTTTGGCAGCAGATTTGCCCAGTGCAATAGGCCACTTGATTGTTTGACTGTGGCTTCCAGGGGTGTTGACTGTGGAGTCAAGGCAAATGAAATTCTTAACTTCAATCTTTTCTCTGTTTATCATGATGTTGATGTTAGTCCAACTGTGA